CGGGGGGTGCCCGGGAGGGGTGCGGGCTGCTGGGAGGCTCGGGGCACGGAGAGGGGGCCCCATGGCCCTCAAGGGGAGGTGGCTGCCCGAGACCTCACCTGAGAGTGTGGGACGTGCGGAGCCTGGGGTTCTCGCCACACCTCCTCTGCTGGCCTGGGCCTCAGTTTCCCTTCCTATCAAAAGGTGGGGCTGCACCTAGTCCGCTGTCCTCAGAGACCCGTCAGCAGCAGACACCTGCCCCCCCAGAGGGCGGGGTCCCCTGGGGTCAGGGTCCCAGGGCGTCAGAATCCGAGTCTCTCCTGGGCGGGGCTGGTGGACACCTGAGAAGTGGCCGCACCTGCGAAGGGACTGCCCGGAGCCCGGAGCCCCAGGGCCCTCAGAGGTGTCCACACTGGCCGTTCGTCTCTTACTCTTTCCTCTGACCGCTCCCTCCCCTCTGCCTCCCCCTCCTTTCTGCAGAAGACCAGGGCCAGCCAGGGCTGTGGGTGCACAGGTGTGTGAGAGAGCGAGCCCTGGGCACACGGGCCTGCATGCGGGATGCGGGTAGAACTTGCACAAGGTCCCGGGTGCACCCTCCTTTGGGCCCCTGAAGCTCTAGGAAACGTCCAGGATCGTGGGCTTGCGGGTTCCTCCCCTGCGGGAAGCTTTCCCTGACCTGCCTCCCCAGAGGGAAGTGCGGCCCTCTCCTCTGGGCAGGGCAGGGCCGGGCAGGCCACCCCTCCTCACCTTCCTCGCGGGCATCGGTGACTTTCTAGCGCAAGTCCTTCCTCCAGACCGTCTTCCTTACACACGTGGACTGTGGGAGGGACTGCCTGTCCCAGGCTGCAGCTGGACATGGGGCGAGGGGGGCTGGACAGCTCAAACCCAGGCTGTCCTATCCGGGACTAAGCCTGTCCCCATCTCACGGGCCCCAGGGGCTCAGAGACAACCCGAGCCTTTGTCTCCCCTCTGCCTTGTCCCCTGCCTGGTGGAGGTCTCCAGGTCTCTATAGGGAGCCCGGGGTCTGAGGAGACCTTCCCGCTCCTAGGGGCCAGGCGGGTCTAGGTTCGAATTCCAACTCCTCTACTCCGCTGTGTGGCCTTGGGCAGGTGGCTTGACCTCTCTGACCTCATTCAGGTTTCTCAGGTATTAGAGGAGGCCCTGGCCGGGAGGAACCGCCCACCTGGTCTTTAGAATGGCCAGCCCCGGTCAGCCTCCGTCCCTCTGTTGAAGAAATGCTGACACCTTGTGGTCGTGAGGCGTAACGGTCGCGTGTGGCCTGCCACACGCATCCAGTAATTTTACATTTTCTAGTAGCCACACTAAAGAGCTAATAAGAAACAGGTGAAATTAACTTTTTATAACAAAATTTACTTAACCCAGGGTTCAGATGAGGCTACAGGATTAGATCCCGGGCCTTCTCCCTCTTGTCCTAGCCTTCCCCCCGCTCCTCCTCGCCTCTCCCCTGCACCCCATCTCCCTTCCTGCTTCCTGACCCC